CAGCCCCTTATCTCGCCGTCGCTGTCGTTCATCCTCCAAAAGAGCTGGTCTGGCCGAAACAGCTGTGTTTGGCCGAGGAGAAAGAGCGCCCACTGATGCTGCACGGACTGAGGAAGAAGACGCAGCATATTGGTCCCGTGGAAAATTTTGGGAGTAACCATACTGGGCTGAGCGAGTTTGGGTCAAAGAGGCATTGGGCTTGGGCCCACGAGACAGCCCTAATTTCTTCTCAATCTCCACCGCCAGACTTGCTGCCCTATAGACAGAACGTGGCTTCTGAATTCTCACGTCAGATCGCAGCTCCTCCTTGAGGCCGTTCAAGAACACGCCGAGAAGACAATGCTCCGGCCAGTTCTTCACATGCGACGCACGGCGAGCGAATTCCTGGCGGTAATCGTGCACCGACCCCGTCTGCTTGATTGCACAGAGATATTCATCGGGGTTTTGAAATTCTGGCGGTCCATAATTTTCTTGAAGAGCTTGAACAAGCTCCTCCCAATACAGCAGGGTCCTCTGCGAATTCATCCAAGAAAACAAGTCTAGAGCATCACCCTCCAGGTACATCGATGCAACATCAACCTTCAGATCATCTGGGGTCTCATAATAGCGGAAATATTTCTCTGCCTTGAGTATCCACCCCCTCGGGTCCCCTCCACTGAACTTAGGAAATTCCATCTTGGTGTGGGGTGGTCTAGGACCCCTTCGATTTGTCTCAGAATCATCGTCACTGTCATCAGCAAAGTGACGTGGCCTTCCTCTTCCACGAACGTTCCTCGCAGCCGCAGCAGCTTCTAAAGTCGCTACCTTCTCCGCTATAACGTCCAAGGTTTCCAGTTTGGTTGCTATGGCAGCAAGGTGGTCAGTAGCCACAGGTTCATCGTCCGTTTGGTTTCGGGAAGAGCGAGTTTCAACCATAGCTCTGATACCAAAAATGATAGGTACTCTGTCTGGAAAAATTTAAGGTAACCGAAAAGAAAAGAACACTATCTAATCTCTCACAGCAAGTATCTCACTATAAGTAAAGAAGATAGCCCAAGAGAATCTCTGGGATATGAAATTCAGATTATATTTCACTCATATCCTAGCTAGTAATAGAGTTGACATATTTATAAAGTCGACTGACACTGCAACAATCATGAAATAACTGAATATCCCTACATTTTCGGGATTACAATGAAATAGGACACGTGATAGACCCATTAGTCCTCTTATTTTGCTAACTGACTCAATAAACACAACTAAAATGAATTTGAATAATTAAATAGAACAAGACCAAGTCAGACTTTAACTAACTCCCCTTATTCCGCCTCTGATAAACCAAGGTTGGCTTATTTGGGTTCTTATCAGAGTGCAGAGGGACTCAGTGTGTTGGTGAGCAATTGCGTACAGAAGGATTCATCTCATTTATTGTGTTCCTCCGTCTCCTGTTCTCATCTTCTATCTCTTTCTGTTTTATGTACCCTCCCCTCCTTTTTGTCAGTATTATCATCTTCCTTCTCTCCTTTACCACAACAACAACCAAACAAAAAACAATAGTAATTCATTAACCCTGCATTCAACTTCTCTCGTGCTAGTAATTAATCACACAATCATAGTTTGCGTTTGTCGTTGTCAGTTATATTCATACAAATGAAAAAGGGAACGCGACATCCAGTGCAACTTTAACTTATTGGTTGTGCAACTATATATATCTATGTATGTTTTTGGAGACAGACTATACATACGTGAATTTTAATCTTAGTTTTAGATGTCAGAGTATGTATTTATTAGGTGTGCGCTTTTCACATGGGAGCAGGCCGTGACGAAATCTATGATGGCTGTACTAGCTGCAGCCCCACGAAACTCTTCATTATATATATACACATCCACATACTATATATGATTGATGATTAATTTGTATGGCCAAACCTAATATCAAGTTAACTATATATATATTTTTCTCAGAGGGGAATCTTAGCCATATATATAGAATGGAGGTACATGCACATAATAAATATTGTAGGCGAACGTGATGAATGAAGGAATTAAAAGGTGGGCATAGATGGACAGATATGAATATACCAGTGGACGGGAGAGAGAGGGAAGAAGAGGGAGCAAAAAGTGACAAGCAAAATCTTCCGGGGGGTTCCATACTTATGCCTAATGCTTTTTGTCGCTGTTGACTTTGTTTCTCTTTCTTTTGGTGGGAAGCAGGCCAGGAACACCCCGTCACGTGCATGGATTTGACAACATGGAATGAATTCCGAGGTACCTTCCTCTTTTCTTCTTATTATTACTCACTGCCTTGAATATTCTGATCCCATCATTAACGCCCCCTCTTTCTCTCTCTTCCGTCTTACCAAATCCCTCTCTCTCTCTCCAGCTTCACAGTGAAAAAAGAAAAGGGGTTAATGTGTTGGAAGGAAACAAGACAAGTCGCCTACAATTTTCTAATCAAAGGGCTCTCTCTTTCTACAAGATTTTGCAGGGTGAGCTAGCGTGTGCGGCGTGCGATCCAGCAGCATGCCCAACCCACTTGAGCTCTGGTTCAGCACTCTTCTGTCTGCTGTCTTCACTGCATTCCGCATTCTTGCCTATCGGTTCTGCTCGTGTTTCCCTTCTCATCACCTCCCCCCAACCAAAAGGATTTATTTTGGGTAAGGTTTCCCACGAGAATATGAAATGAATAGGTGAAATTTGGGCCTACCTTTAGGTCCACGATGAACATCCAGGCCCAAATGAGTTTTATTTTACCAAGTCCTTTGTAATTTAGCCCAAGAGTAAGTCGCTGCCAAATGCAGCTCAATTTTTTTTTTTAAAAAAAAACAATACAGAGTTTTTTTTTTTTTTTTTACCAGCAATACAGCGGTAATATAATATCCATACGAAAATGGGGAGAAAATACTCGGGTCTCATGCCTTCCTTTTACCTTCACAGTTTAATTAGTTTTGGAGATTAAGGGGGTGTTTGGATAGAAACCAAACCATGGTTTCAGAAGTGCTTTTACGGATTACGAAGTAAATATGTGGAGGAGATTATCTCGTTTTGCAGAAAAGTGCTTCTGAAACCATGGTTTTGGGTTTCCCAAACACCCCCTAAAGCTCCTTTCCCCGGGGGAGATCCAAATTCTCTCAGAGTCTTTGAGAGAGAATTTTGGGAGAAAACATGTGGAGGTTTTAGGTATATCCGTGTCCTTAAAAAATTTTATCCATATAGTCCCTTGCTATTTGAATGAAGGAAAAATCATCCAGACCGTGCGAGCAAGATCAATGCAGGTGGCTGCTTTCCCAAATTAATTTTGATTTGAACCCTGTGGTCCATGTTTGAAGGAAATTATATGACTGGAGATGACATATAGTTGCCAGTCATACGTATATACAGTGGCGTTCTAGACACCCCATTGAACCCGGTATGGGACGTTGGGTGTTTTGTGGCCTCTAAACGCAAAACAAAGGAATTTTTCCAGATTTTAATGTCAGGGCACAACTCTACTGAATTCCCTTTCACAAATCACGCGTCTTTATCCGTTGCCAGTGTGAACATATCCATGAAATTCCAATAAGGTTACTTGGTGCTGACTGTCTGGCGGGGGCAGGCGGGCCATTCATTGAATAACAGCCACATTATGATGGCTCCGTACGCTGAATTCTTATTAACGAATTAAATTAATTTTGTGATTCCAGAAAAACAACGCACGTCAACCGATTAAGCTTCATTTCCCACCCATTAAGTAACTTGCTCTTTGACGTATATTATAATATTTAGAGTTTTATCTTGATTTATGTAAAATGTATTCAAAAGTAATTCTAAATATGATCTACCCTTGATTGGTCAAACTCTATATTAAAAGCACGGTCCTTACTTTTTTGCCATAATTTTCTTTTGATTGACGAAAATCCCAATCATGTCGTTTGACCGTTGATCTGGCCCGGTCCATGAAAAATGACCCCTTCTTGGCGTGACAAGGCCGACGGCCCACAGTGTTCTCAGTGGAGGGGTTAGCCTGAACCACCACGGGAGATAAATGCCGGTGGTGGCGATGTGGCGTAGCTAATCCATGCAAGGTTTATTAATTTATTAAAACGATTAGTATTTACATACGTTCACTTTTATAAGTATTTACATAGCTAATCCCTCCACACGAAGAATTCGGCACTCACAATGCGTCCAACACGTGAAATTCTAAACTTTGCTTCGCACACGGCTTTCTTTTAAGTACCTGTTTACATTAATTCTGCATAATCAGGCTTATCATTCTCTGGCATGACCCTTGTATGACTATCGGACTTTGAATCACGTAACACAGTATGTGTCAAACAAAAAAAATTAAGTTCAATGGCTCCCGGTGATCATGAGGCGATAAAAGCGGGCCCATCTCGGAATTAATCCACACTTTCAGGCCAATAAACTGAAACTGGGATTCTCTCTCTCTCTCTCTCTCTCTCTCTCTCTCTCGCTGCACGCACATCACTTGCATATTCATCTGAATGGAGACAATGTATAGTTAGATTGATGACTATTTAAAAGAATCCTATGCTGACATGCAGAAAAATTCAACAAAAACAAATTTAAAATTATTAAATCTCAAATAAGAAATTTTAATTAAAAAAACCTGTTATTATCCAAACTCATTAAAACTTCAACGAAAACTACTTTTGAATTTAGCAATTTTAAGTTTTTTTTTTAAACTATTCTTCTTAACATATATGCATGTTTATGATAATTATATAGTTTGTTGGCTTCTTGTTTAGACAAAGGGTAGCCGGGTAGGCAGGTACGCAGCCAGTGGCGGGGGAATAACGACCACAACTAAAATAGCAGAATTAATAACAGAATTTCAAGATTAATTTCTAGCAAGAATGAAAAATATAAAACAAAATAAAGGAAAAATGAGAAGGTGACATCCTCTTCCTGTCAGGTGGTGACGGACTTCGGGGTTGACACGGGCGGAGGGAAGAGAGAGAAGATATTGACCTCTCAAAATGGAGTCTTCTTTCCCGTCTGGCATGGGGGCAGTACGTTGTAAACCGCTTTCTGGTTGCTCTTCTAGACACAGAAACAGAGGAAGAGCTAGAAGGAGAAACATATCCCAACAAACTCATTCCTTCTTCTCCCTCTCCCTCTCCCTCTCCCTCTTCATCTAAACCTATATATTATATTCAGATGCCATAATCATCCATCCTCGTTCTTCTCCTTTCGCTTTTGCGAATGGCGATTCTTCTCTCTCTCCACAGTACTTCTCTGCCGCCTGCCGATCTCTGTGTTCCTTCTTTACTATAATAAAACCCTTCTCTTTTTTGAATCGCTATGCGTTGGTTATCTTCCCTTTCCTTGTCCCATTCTCATGGTCTCAAATCCTCCTCTACCTCTTCTTCTTTTTCCACCTCCGACGTTGACCACCCTAAGAAGAAGTCTGCAGATGCCAGTCGGGGTTTGGGTGGCGTTTGGCCTTTCGGTATCGGCAAAAAGGCTAGCCGCCCCAAGACGCTCCGGCCTATAGGTGATAGTGATGGCAGGTCCCCTCCCAGGTGGCATGATTCCGATGATGACGTTCTTGTGCCCTTGGCTCATTCCACGACCCCCTCTGATCGTCAATTTAGTCGTTCCAATACAACGTCCTTTTCTTCCTCCTCCGTCGCACCTCAACCCTTGCCCTTGCCGGACGCGGCGCTCTCTCGCCACATAGACGCTGATTGCCCTTTACCTTTCCCGAAAGATGTGGCCGGACCCAACAGCGCTGCGAAAGGGCTACCAGATCGCGATCGAGCTGATGGCGTGATGGGCGGGGTCTCCTCTGTTTTTCGAATTCAGAGGTAATATTTTTCGCCTCTTAATTGAGCTTTTCTTCGCCTGCTTATTTGTCACGTGGTTCTTTCATTCTCACAACATTTATATTTGAAAAGTTCCCATATTTCTTTTTCATTTTTAATGAAAGCTATTTGTACGATTATTCCTTTTTTCGTGTGGCCTTTCCCTAATCCGCGGATAGGCGACATTTCCATTTTCTTGGCAATGATCGGACACCAAGATATTACTACTCATTTAGTATAGTGTTATGTATCCATGAAAGCGTTTGATTATAAACATGCGTAATAATCTCAGTGAATCTAATAATGTCTGCTTGCCGCATTTGCTAGCACTAAGAGTTTACTAACATTTGGCTTAAGTATGTCCCAGTGTGTTTGCTAGCCCGGGCGTAAAAAAGAATAAGGCGCAAGCGGAAATGGGGTCATCTGTGATGATGCGTCAGGATCTAAGTGGTAGCGAAAGTAATCAAGTTAACTTCCGCATTGAAGTCCCAACTTGGAGTGCTCCAGTTAGTCCTTTGAACAGTCCCTTGGTGAGCCCGAACAATGGAAGACATAGTGATTTCGTTCAATATTGTTACGTGTGTCCCCCGCCAAGTCAATATTGGTCGGCACCAGAGATGGTCACGTCTGATGCATCATCAGGGACGACGCATCCTGCATTATTTGATTTAACTGCATTATCTACTGATACTTCTCCTCATCACAGTCCACGAGGTAGAAGTCCTAACCAAAATCTCAGGAGCCGAAGTGGAGCTTCCTCGCCAATACGTCCCAGGTTATCTCTCGAGACCTCAGTAGCACGTCGCGACTTCAATGCCCCCTCTCTCAACGTTCACCCCTTACCATTGCCTCCTGGGGCACCCTTGCTTTCCCCATCCCCTAAATTCTCCCCCACTGTGCCTAAGTTAGAGTCCTCCTCGATGAAAAGCCAATGGCAGAAAGGGAAACTAATTGGGCGTGGTACGTTTGGAAGTGTTTATGTGGCTACCAACAGGTATATGAAGTTTCTAAAGCATCTTATGCTTTTCTCTTCTCTTCCTTGCTAGGTACTGAAAGAGTTTTTTGTTTTGTGACAGAGAAACTGGAGCATTATGTGCGATGAAGGAAGTAGAAATATTTCCCGATGACCCCAAATCCGCCGAGTGTATTAAACAGTTAGAGCAGGTTGTCCATTACTATCTGCTTGTTAACTGTGCAAGTATGAAGTTTATTAAATATGCTGTCTTTCTTCACATTGACACTAGTATGGATTAACATTTGCTCGTTATCAGAAATATGGTACTTCATTGAAGAAGTCAATGCGCTAGTTTACCCTGATATAGTCCTTGGTTATTCAGCATAATTCTCCACGTTGGAGGCGTCAGAGCTATGAAGAAAACATACTAATATCTAGATTTGTATTTCATGACCTGTGCATTTTATTTTGAGGTTGCGTGAGCTCACTATGGCTTTACTTATATCCTCCCCAAACTAATTATGCAAAAATGTTATTTTTAGTCTTCTACAATCATCATCCACACAATCAAAGCTTTATAGCTTTCTGATTCCTCAAGCTCTTTCTTACTAATTTATCTCTCTCAGGAAATCAAAGTTCTTAGCCAGCTGAAGCATACAAACATTGTGCAGTATTATGGCAGTGAAATCGTAAGCAATCTACTTGTTCATGATTAGGTGCACATAATTAGTTATATATTTCTTGAACAACCATAAAAGTTAACTTTGTTGACTTTTGTTGTATCATGAAGGTTGAAGACCGGTTTTATATTTATCTGGAATATGTCCATCCTGGATCAATAAACAAATATGTCCGTGAACATTGTGGCGCCATAACAGAATCTGTTGTTCGAAGTTTCACTCGTCATATTCTTTCAGGCTTGGCTTACTTGCATAGCAAAAAAACAATTCATAGGTACAGTCATATGGTTGATATGGTGCATAGCATAAGATCTGGAGCCATCTACTACATGAAATCCCAAGATATTGCTACAAATTTTATTGGATGGAAAATGATTATCTTTGCTGGAATTGTATAGGGACATTAAAGGGGCTAACTTGCTTGTTGATTCTACTGGGGTTGTTAAGCTTGCTGACTTTGGGATGGCCAAGCACGTGAGTTACTAAAATTTTCCCTCTGAATATAGACTTTTGAGTCTCAGTCTTTATCCTATGGAGAGAATGGTTATCTCATTGCACAATTTTTTCTTGCTTTTCATGTTGTTGCATTTAATATATATATATTTTTTATCAATCAAGACTTACTAAAAAAGGACTAATCATCAGTTGAACAAGATTTAAACTGAAGGGCTCAAATTAATTGCTTGAAAATCCTTCTCTTGTTTTTTTTAACCTTGATTCCTTTCTCCTGGTTGAAATCTGCAAATTTATTACCTTTTTTATTTATTCATTAGATTGATTCAAGTAACATAGGATCTTTATCTTCCACAGCTCACTGGACATGCAGCTGATCTTTCTTTAAAGGGAAGTCCATACTGGATGGCTCCTGAGGTATACCATATTCTTATTATACATTACCCTGTGATATCTTGTAGCATTTCTTATTGATTCTTGTTTGTCCAACAGCTTATGCAAGCAGTGATGCAAAAAGACAACAGCTCAGATCTAGCTTTAGCTGTCGACGTTTGGAGTTTGGGTTGCACAATCATAGAAATGCTCACAGGGAAGCCTCCTTGGAGTGAATACGAAGGAGTAAGCACCTGAAGAAAGTTTCAGTTGCCCTTTCATATTATGTTCTCAATCAGTTTCCACACTAGTACAAAGCCTCCATTATTATTGAAATATTCTGATGGGATTGGTAAAATTGAGTACTGCATATTTAACCCTGGTTATATTTATGCTCATTCAGATTGCGAGAGTCTGATAATGGGGAATGATACGTGACTTTTGTTCTTGTTTGGACAAACTTTATTGCTACATCTAGCCTGAAGCATCTCTATGCAATTTTGTTTAGAGTTTAGGCTGTAAATTTAGCTCAAGTATAGTATCTAAGCATCCTTCATTGATCAACTTCTTAATATTGTATTTTTGCAGGCTGCGGCTATGTTTAAGGTTATGAGGGATACCCCTCCTATACCTGAAACATTGTCATCGGAAGGTAAAGACTTCCTGAGGTGCTGCTTTAAGAGAAATCCAGCAGAGCGGTCAACTGCTTTAGCTTTACTTGAACATCGGTTCTTGAAAAATGCACAACAGCCTGATGTTTCATATTCTGTGCAGTCTCATAATGGAATAAATTTGACGGTGAATGTAAATGTTGTACCTCTTTATATTGTTAAAACAAAGCTGTTTAGTAGTACTTATTTATTACTCTTTTTTTAATGTTGACAGGACAGACCCCTTAGTCCCAGAGGGCAATCTGAACATTTATCTGATCAGTTGCTAACTACTAGTATGCAAATTGCAAAAGGGAAGGGCAATGAAAGGTGACTAGGTTAGGATTTATACAATACTTCCAAAGTTACTTGCCCTGAATATTTGTGTCAAAGAATCCTTCCTGTTTTTAATCTGGTACTTTTGAGCTGCACATGGCTTACTCATAAATGTTCATGCATGGTTTTCCTCTTTGCAGATGGACAGAAACCGCAGTGTAACTATTGACTTAACATTGGTGTCAAGGGGATTCATCCCTTGCAAAAACCGAGCAATTTGTATTTACGCTAAAATCTCAGATTGCAAGACACATAATCCAATCCCTTCCATGATTGTCTCTGGCTACGTCAAAGTGGAAACAGTAAGAATGGTATTCCTAAATAACCGCATTTAGGGAAGTTTCGTTTGCTATTCCAGATACTTAGACCCATCGCTGTAATATGGTTTACCTGGACCCTCTTGTAGGTGAGTTGCAGCTACTGCTTGGTAAGCTTCTTTCCCTGAGTTTCTCATTAATGCCCATTTGCCTCCCCAAAAGTACAAGGGCTTCTTCAGTCTGGAAGTCATGTTGCATGAGAATAGAAGCAGTTTTTGTATAATATTGCATAGAGCTCTTCAGCAGCAACAGAAGTGTGTACGATACATTTTATAAAACATGCATGTTTCTCCTGACAGCAGAATGGAGTCCAAATCGAGCATGTAGATATTATCCCTCTCGCTTTCATAGGGATTTTGATGTGGTGACTTTATTGGCATTGTCACTTGCTAATGCTAGTTAAATGGATTCTTGTACATTGTAATAAGGCCTATTTCAAAATCTTCAGTTTTGGAAGCTGGTATTTTTTCTGGTTACTGTTAGGATACCTAGTAAAAAATCTTAGCCACGTGCTAATCCAATACCATGGAAGAATAAATTGTTGATTCCTTCTAGGAACTGTATTCTTATGTTGTTTTCTCTTCATTTTGTTTCAAAAAGCATGGACATGGTAATATTTTTTCTCGTGGCAATACCAGGTGTCTATGACACGGAACATTAATCAGTGAAGCTAAACTTCTATCGATTTTGTTCGAGGGGTAGGCCTCATATTTGATAATATTTAAATGAGGCGCATTGCGATTGGCGCAGAGAAGGGGGGAGGGAAAAAGAGGTTTATTACTGTCTAGAGGTGCTTTATAGATTCATATCATCCCCTCAATCTACTCATCTTCAGTCCAAAACATCTTCTAATTTGGTGCACTATGGTTGGCTTTTCTTGCTTTTTAATATTACTTCTTAATCTTCTGAATTGTTGTGGTTTCTTCACTTCAGACTTGGTCTGGGTTTTTGGTGAAGCACTTGTTTTTTTGGTTATTGCTACCACATCTTTACTGGAATCATTTTTTCTCCACATCCGTTTCATCCTCCCATTTCCTGATTTTATTTCTTCTGTACATTTTTGATGATATGCTGGGGCACAACTTATTCAGTCTTGATAATGCTGAATCCCTCCTAGCCTCAGCTGCGAGCTTCTTGGCCATGGAAACAGAAACGTTCTGATTTGCCTGTGAAAACCTTTCTTCAGCTGCTCTTATTAAGGCTGAGTACTCTTGATGTGTTAGTTGTACTGCTGCAGCGTGAGCTTCTAATTGTTTAATCTGATGAAGGGCTTCATCATCAGATTTTTCCCGAGCATGGGACTCGAGTAATATAGCTTCAACGGTGAGTTGCAAGGTCTGAAGTTTCTGTCTCCTTAACTGCAAAATCTGTCTGAGTTTGACTTGTGCTTGCCTTTCTTTCTTTATATCGATCTCAAGCCTCTCCAATTCATGGCGTGCTCGATCTAAAGCGTGATTGATTTCATGGCTCATGATTTCTGCCTTAAATCGGTATTCTCTTTTGGATTTGATGTTCATGTTGATAATCTCGAGCTGAGATTCCAACTTGGAATGACGCTGGTATCTAACCTTTTTCTAGTATCTACGAGGTTTGATTTCTGCATCTCTAGTTCATCAATGAGGGGCCTAGAGTCAAGCCATGATTGCATTGCCTTCTCCCTAGCTGTCTGAAGCTCCAACTTCGTCCTAGCTAGTTCTGTCGCTTCCGCTTCCATCTCAGCTCTCATGCGTTCTTCCAACTCTCTCCCCTTATCCATGGCTCCTCGAAAATTCATCTCTAGTGCATGTGTCCGTTTAGATCGTTATTCCGTTTATGATTTAAGGTGCCGCGGGCAAGACTGATACGTAACATTAAGGACACAACTCTCTCCAAAAATAGCATTGTTGTTTGAGGTTCCAGCGAGCTGGTTCATTGAAACTGCTTATTCATTTGAGATCCCTATGAAGCATTGTTATCACCGATTGCCTCGTGTTTGTTAGCACTTGGATTTATGTTACGTCTATTACTGCCAGCGGCTCGCGTCCAGGGCCCCTCTCATCCAAACACGAACACATAGGACTTGGTGTACTATTTGAGTATGGAAAGTTTCTCCTCCTTAATAGTTAATACCGTCTCTTCTCCTTAATATAAGATCTAGTTGACTAATTTGAAGAGATTAAAAAATTAGTTGAGTTAATTATTTGCTATAAATAGGTCTTGTCTTTCTTAGAATATCCTTGCTAATCATATATATTAGCTAGAATGACTATTTAATAAAATCTTTAAGTTTAATATGTACAACTACTATAAGGACTATTTTGAAAAGAATAAATAAATATAAAAAGCAAAGTGAATTAGAATATTATTTTTAGGATCAAATTAAGAGTCAAAAAAGTCCTTATAAATTAACGGAGGTAGCATATGTGTTACTCCCCGGCCAATATAGCAAACTAAAAGATTAAGAATTAGCTAAAGTTAAAAAAGGAGAGAATGAGTTCCTAAAAGATAATAGCATCTGTTTCATAATACTCCTCTCTTCTTTACTTGACTTATTTGAGGAGATTAGGAAGTAATTTAGAGATTTATAAATAATAAGTGTTGTTATTCCTAAAATATCCTTGCTATTAAGTATTTTAAAACTGATGCAAACTACAAAGGATTCTGAAACTGAATCACGCTAAAGCCTGCAAAAAGGAGAGGGTAAATCCGAGTATCCTGCAAAAGATAAGCTAGCAGCGGGGAGGGTGTGTTCATAAATTATATTACTTTTGTAAAACAAATTGCTGATAGATCCAATTGATTAATTTAGAAAGATTAAAAAAATTACTAAATTATTTAATTATAACATATATTATATGATCTTTATAAAATATTTATGTATATCAGATTATATATCAATTTATAAGTAACACAAATTAATTTTAAAAAAATGACCAATATAATACTTAAGTAATTTATAATCAGCTAAGTGGAGGTAATAGTTAAAGAGTTGGCTGGGCAACTTAAAAAGTAAAACCTGAACCTGTCTGACCGCCTCTAAGGTCGCCTGAAAACAATATTTAAATGTAATTATTGCTCTTGTAAAACAATAGTACGCGCGTCTCAGATTTCGAATGTTTTTTTTTTTTTTGTCTCTGATAATAAAAAGATACATATACATAAAAAAAAACAAAAAAAAGTTTATTTTTTATAAATGACCTGATTATTTCCTGTCAACTTAAATATAATTATTGAATTTCACTTACTGAATCTAAAATCTGTTTCTATATAATCAAATTGCAGATTCCCAAGTTTTTATAATTTATTTCATGACTATGAATGCCCGAAGTTTTTGTTTTTTGTTATGCAAACAATGCCGACCTTTAGGTCTAAAAAAATGTCTGAATTGTTACCGAGAAAACGATGTGGACCGGAGGTCGGCCCAGATCCTGTGGGCAGATCCGGAGATTGGAGAGGCGGTGCCTGCTTTCATTGCCAAAGTAGCAAAGGTTCCCCATCGATGGTCGGCCAGTTCCTTTTCGTTGTTCTGATTCTGGTCACGTTCAAATATGGTTGAACCGAGGGGGAAGCGCGCCATCATTGTTCTATCTTCATCTTCTTCCGAAGAAATTGATGATCACGACATGGAAGACTCAATCAGTGACGACGACTGCGCTGACGACGAGGAGGAGGGACAATCTCTGGATGACGATGACGAAAATTCTGACGACAGTGATGATGAGTCCCTCTCCAACAAAGTTTTTGCCCTTTTTCAAGGTTCGTCTGAGGCTTTTTGTGCATCTCAGTCCTGCCTGCTACCCTATCAGTTTTTAGTCACATGAATTCCTCTAATTATTTACTTCTAGTGCTTGAAGTGAGTAACGAGACTTGCATCAATTTGGCTAATGATTATTGATCATTGAATCTCTTTCTGTTTGACATCTTTTTCATTTCCAGAAGGAAGTGATTTAAAATATCTGAAATTTAAAGAATGCAAAGCATATCTGCGTAAAAATGGCCTCAGACTGGCAGGGAATAGAGATGTTTGTATTGAGAGAATAAGAGAGCATTGGAGGTAATATTTTTCTAGCAAATTAGAGACGTATGGTGATTTGATATTTAGCTAACAATTTCCGGAGCCTTCTCTTGTGATGTGCAAATACATTTATCTGCGCTGATAGTCTGTAATGCCCTTTTCCTCTATTCCATGTCGAAGCTGTGATCGTAATCTTGAACATATACGACGCTGATAAAACATGCTCGAGTTACCAAAATTTGTGTGTTCTATATTTTGGTTCTGATGACTTTGTTTTGGCTAAGAAGCATAGACTTTGCTCGATATGACAATTTAATGTGTCAGGTAGTGTTTCGACTGTCACGTAGTGCTTGATACGTGTGTTTTGAAATGTGTTATTCTTTTTGTAAATTTATTGTGATTTATTGTTTGTTAATAGCTTATGTTTAACATTTATATGTATGAAGGTTATTTCAATTTATATTTATCTAAGTTTTTGGTCCATACTCTATGCATTAATGTTACTACTATTGCTACTCTGCTCCTTGCTTCGTTTAGTCGACTGTCCCTTTTGCACCTTTCATCTCAGGTGTTTTATAGGTCTAGCACCTCAAATGTGACTCTTGCCTTTAACCACCTTGTTCTTGATACTAATGATTGGATTTTTTCCCCCCCTTATTAAAAACAGAACAAGAGAGTAAGATAGTGATTTTTACCAAAGAAGATAGGACTTAGTTTTATAAATTTTCATAAGACTTCGATCTGAAGAAAAGCAATTCTTACCATTCAATGTGGTATTATTTAGTGTCTACTTTGATATTTCAGGATCAAAGATGGACGTGGGTATACACTTTATCCGAGATCATCCTTTATTATTGATTGTACTGGTAAATTGTTTTGCGATTATATATTCATCGACTTTTATGTTTGCATTTTTTGTATGATTAATAGCCTGCTTGTTTTTCCTAGGTGATGTGTGTAAGGGAGATGTTGTCCTGTTCAGACAGATGGTTTATGAAAAGTACTACTCTTTTAGCTCTCTTATTTCATCATGTTTGATATGAAGGTTTTTGTTTAGACCCTTGTTATTCTTTCTTATGTCAGTGGTATAAATTTCACAGGTTTGATAAAGTCAGTAAGCGAGGAAGACATGTGGGAAAGAGAACTGTTGCTGGGAGGGTAGTTAAGGAAAGCTATGGTGCAACAAAGCAGCAACATACCTTTACAGTAAGGCTTAGAGTATATAAATTCACTATGAACATGTGGCTACATTTGCACCTTTAATATTTTGTCTTTTAGGTAATAGTTGATCTTTTGCTTTGTGGTAGAGCTTATTTGCTGGCAGCAGTACTATTGCTTCCTTCGCTTGGAATATAACTCTTAGTCTCTCTCAAATTCCCCATGATCCCAACAAATCAAATAGACAATGAAAGATAAAACTCTGGTTATTGCATTGCACCGTTAATTTACCCTTTCTTTTTATCTTTTGTGTCCGTACAGGTGTTCGGTACTCTATGATCTTACATTCAGATGCTTTGGCATGTTATAAGATACCGGGATATATTTGAGATTCCCATGTTTGGTGACAATCAAAAGTTCTTATTACGCAATTAACAATTCTGGATTGAAAACCACCCCCCCTCCTAAACAAAAGAATGAGATATTTCTCAAATTTGCTAATGCTTCGTAGCATCTCAGATGACATTTAAGCATATTAGATATTAGTGTATCTAAAATGTGTCTCATACGCCCCCTAACATCCAAGATATCAGGACGAAGGTGACAAATACCTGATGACTCCTAAATGCGATGATTTTTTGTAATTTAGCCTCATAACAATTGCCAAAATAATTGGACAGTTGCATGCAATTTTGAAATAAATGTGCTAAGATGTCTTTGGACCAAGAGTCTAAAAAACTCTCGGTGAGAAACTCTTACTTGATTTTAGCTTCTTTAAGATTTAACTTTTGCTTTCCCATTGTGACTCCTTATTCTATCCCATTCTGCATTGGACCCTGCAGGTTGAGGTCATATGGAGTGACGGGGTTAAAAAATTTCCTCCACTGTTTCCTTTGCTTGTTAAGGGCCGCAATCTCTATAAATTGAAAACATACAGACAGGTATTCAGTCACTACGTTCTAGGTGTTTTATTTTGAGTCCTTCGTTTAGTACTTGTACTATTCTTCCTCCCCTTAGAGATGGAAACATGAAGCTGAAAGAGTCAAAGTGCTTTCTGAGAAGCACCAACGTGGTGCAGAGGCAAGGCTTGTTAGAGCAACGAGGCAAAAGAAGGGAAAATGGAGTGCAAATGGAGGCAAGTGAAGGAGCTTGTGTCACTATGTTTTAGCCCTCCGTATTATTGGTAACTTGTGTTACTTATATTTGAACACTGATAATTATTAGGTTTCAATGGCCATTGTGAAATCCGTCATACCAAACCATCAAAACTGAGAGTATCACGTACCTATGATATGGGAAAGGTGAAGCAGCTTGACGGACATCGAAGAGCAATCTCTGGCCGCCAGCCTCTAGAGACCACTTCAACAAGACAAGCAGCTAGGAAAACAAATGCATCTTCAAGAACATTCAGATCTGCAAGTGGATGGGATGAATCCGTTGACTGCTATCAACTTCCAGTTCATTCCTTTTATGCAAATTATTCACGAAATTCTCATCAGTCTAAAGTGAATTGTCAGAAGAAATGAAGCATGAATTCCCACCTTTGAGGTTTTGTGTTGATGAAATTGCTTCACCCCGGTCATGAAATCTGGCTTCCTGCGCTACTAATCTTGCCTACACAAACCTGAGATACAGCTCTCAAGGCCTTTGAATGCAGAACTTGTAGACAGGCCACCGCATCCATTTCCTTCAGGGAACCAAGATGCTTGGATGGAGGAATTGTAGTTTATGAGTTGATCTGTTTACCCTTGTCAATATTGAGACTCTCGGGTTCTATGCAAATGCACAGGTCTCACTCTATTAGATTGTAAAACACAGCTTTCATCGTCCCCTGATTAGATTGATGATAGGTGAATATGAGCGTTCGTTGCTTTTCTGGTGTCGGGTTAGTTTTATGGGACTTATCCACTGCTTCCATTTTTTTCTTTTTGGCGAACAACTGCTTCCGTATGTTGGAAGTTGCTTCCTTGTAATGGACCGACTGTAGAAGTGACCTCAGATGCATGTAAGTGTATCCAAGTCTTTTGGTTTTAGTCGCAGGTCCTTAGACAAATCTTTAATGCCGGGAGCTTTCCACTGGAAGTCTACTAATCCGGATGTTGGTCTATGGTTGTCTTGGTTAAACTATGTGGCTGACTTACTGGTTCTCGTTATTTTGCACTTAAATTAAAGTTGTCGCATTATATCTATTCTGACGTATGGGTGTGCAAAGGTTCAGTTTTGAGAAAAAAGCCAAGAACCAAACCAAGCCAGACTAAGGGCCAATTTTTTCTTAGAAGTGACTGTAGTTGGGGGACTAAGGGTGGGACAGTTGGGAGGAAAAGGGCCAGCTTTTTTTCTTTAAATCTTCCCTCAATATTGTGAAGCATAATATTTTTAACTTGATTTAGTTATATTGTTGACAATATCATAACAAAAATGCCGAACATTAATATACTAGCATAACTTAGTTATTATGTAAGACAAAATATTTGTATGATATTTTTGAAGAAATATTGAAATTACATACCCATTTGGATAGATGGTCAAGATTTGCAAATCATAAAGAACCGATTAGATTACTCCTCAATTTTGTTTTTTGGTCCTAGACCGCATAAACGCACACCAAAACAAAAAAGCTTTGTATGCCCACCGGTCAAAATCAAAACACTGGAGACAACCCAGATCCACAAAAAACAGGGCGGAAAAAAATAAATAAATAGAACCGAGTCACACTCTAGACCGAGGCTTGCCCATGCATGGGTCATCACCTAAAAGCAAACATGCTTTAACCTTTACAGTGAGCAGGAAGAACAGTAAAACTGTTCAAAGATTGTTTTCCAAGGGGCAAACGCGCAGCAGCAGGGAGCGCGGTCATTAGTCGAGAGGCGAATGAAGGGGGCGGCAGGGAGGCTGGGAGAGCCTGAAGACGAGGCCTGGTGCTATAAAAACTTTTGAGACGGGACTGGCATGACGTCCTGGGTCTGATATGATAGCAATAGCAAAGCTCAGTTGTGAATGGAAGCATCACCCTCCTTCACCGAATCATGCAAGACCCACTCACATTCATTGTGGTGGAGCCCGCGATCACGTTATCCAAAGTAGCTGAGTTGTCAGTGAAGCCCCTCCGCCCTACAATGGTTAACGGCTCCTCCGACAAATATCGCCACTGACACGCGTACGTCAACCCCTCCCCCCAAGTGCCCTTTATCTGAGAGCTACCACTCACTCTCCATTTGTCCCCCAATGAAAACATTTTTATTCCCATCTCCATGCGAATGAGCAGGAGTTCATACTGTGCTCATAGGGAAAAAAGTGTTTCAGATTGAAGCAAGTACACAGAGTTTGTGTGTCCTACATTGGAACACGAAGTCCTTCTTTCATCCATGCAACCCTGTCCCCATCCCGCCCCTTCCCCCACACCTAACTTTTCCGAGGTTCCCATCACGCTATTATATCCCACTTCCCCCCATACAAGTCGTCCCATTACCGACAAAATTTTCGCTAATCATGTTTTAGAGTGAAATGCCAAATCTCAGTGGTTGCGTTTCAGAAATGACGGCAACTTTACAACAAGCCCTTCGTGAATATTTATATGCATACATTTTTTATTAAAAAAAAAAGAGGAAGTATTAAGAAAATACAAAATAAAAACTTCTCTCTTGACCTCTTCTCACTCCTATGTATAACTGAGATCAAGGAAGAGCATATAATTGAGTAAGAGAGACTCAAATAACCGAGAAAGGGAATGGGCGGGGAAGGGAAAAGAAGTGGCTAGAAGAATCTTGATGTGGAAGAACGGAGGTCAATCTCCTGGGTCCAAGCATTACGTTCCTGAACGTGCAAGTGCCAGTAGGTCTGAGCAAGAGCGTCTGGATCCATCAAGCCGTCCCCTACTCCACCGGGCTGTTCCACAATGGACGCTTTCTGTAAAGCCGCTGGTCCCCTGCATAACATGTCCAAACCCCACCGTTTAATGATCAATTTGCACCTCTGAGCTTTCTTCTTCTGGGAAGAGAATCAAATAATTCCATCCTTTATGGTGAGACAACAGGAAAGTATATATCGAGTGTGATAGAATGGATACATGTTACACGAGCAACTGATCAAGTAAAAGATGAGAATGAGGGGGGAAAGGTATAGAGATAAACCAACGAGAACGAACCTAGGTGGGCCAACTACACCGTCGATGATAATATGCGCTACGTGCACTCCCTGGGGTTGAAATTCCCTGGCCAGACACTGCGATAGTGCCCTCAAAGCGAATTTCCCACAGCCTGTCTCATCTCCCGCATCCCATCCCAACTAGTTAATTTACTGAATAATAGAATACATAATACCAAACGAATCAAATGAGAAAAGGGGGGGCTTTTATTTACAAAGTTCGGAGAAACCAGCAATGCCGTTTAGAGAAGCCGAACAGCCAGTGAAGAGAATTGTGCCTTTTCCCCTTTCCACCATGCCCGGCAGCACCTTCCATTGATTCCATCAAGCCACAATTATATTATATACAATTATTTTATCGATGATTGATCTGGAAACTGATTTTTTTTCCCCAAAAAAGGGATGGAATCGATCGTAATTTGGTTCAACTATAATTTTCTACGGAACGGGAAATTGACAGTGGCTTTGAGATATACCTGTTGAGCGCAGTGGAAGGCACCGACGGAAGAGACGGCGAGAGATTTCTCAAAAGACTCGACGCGAACGTCATGGAAGGAAGTGCGGTTCCAAGAAAGTGGCTGGTAAGCATTATAGACAAGAACCTCCACAAATCCTAGAGACAGCACTCCTTCAAATGCCTCTCTCACGCTTCTCGAATCGGAGCAATCGATTCGTATTGCGAATACCTGTGCCTTCTCCTCCCTCGCTATCTCGTCCGCGAACCTCGACAGCCTCCCTGTCCGTTCATTATAAATAACTATCGCTAATTATCACAGTTTCCAAACATCAATCGAACAGAAAGCGAGAAGAAATTGAGAGAGAGAGAGTGAGAGGGAAGTGCCTAGGTCACGAGCGAGGATGGCAACGGTGTAGCCTTCGTGAGCAAACTTGCGGGCGATTGATCGGCCGAGCTTGGGGCCGACGCCGACGATAGCAGCAATGCCTCGGGAGGAGGGACAGCTTGTCATGTTCCGCATCTTCCAGCGCTCCAATTACGAGTGAGAAGGAGGTTGACGAAGAAGCGAGAGAGAAGGAGAGGGTGGTTTAGTCTATAAAGGCAAGAAGTAAAGGAATATTGAACAAGAGGAACGGGCAATATAAAGAGAAGCGGTGAGATATGTGCTTGGCCTGTCTGAATCACTGCCTCCCTTACAAGAGGCATTCTTTCTACTCACTCCCATGATTATCGATCATTCCCACTACCTGACAAGTCACTAATCACTCTTACGCATCCCCTTCACTCCCCACCCCCACTTTTTATTACTACCCTCCTCCACTCTTCCCACTCTCCCTTTATAATTAACCCCTTTCTCTCTTTTCCTTTTCAATTCCCTTCGCCGCCGCCTCTGCAATTGTCTCGCATATTCCTCTTTCTTCTCTGACAAATGATGCGCCGATCTCTTTCGACCTGCGATACCTCAGTTTCAAAGGTTCCTTCGTCAATAACTTGACACTGTAATTATTTACAAACTCCTATGAATATACCCAAACTTAGCCTTCTTATATTTAGGATGATATTTGATGGATCACGGGTGGTCAATATATAATTCAACTTCGTGTTTTGACAACGGCACCAGTATATATCACCTCTTCCATGCGTATATTATACGTGCTAATGCTTGATCTGCAAAACGTGTAATTATATATGATCAGTTCTCTAGCAGCATGTGTATTAGGCTTTTATAAGGCTTTAATATTGTCTAACGGATAATATAGGTATTTGTATTTGCATGCTCTTCTAATAGTTTGAGCAAAGAAAGGATATAGTGGATTCAAGACGATACTTTCAAACTTTTGTGCTTTTGTTGTTCTAATTGTTCTCTCGCTTTTTTTGGGTGGTGCTACGTGGAAACGAATTTCTCCATGTTCGTGTGGAGAATATATTGGGTCATTCGAGGTTATTCCAACCGGGCAGCTTGCTCATTGCGGAAGTTTATTAATTTTGGGGGTCTGGAGGACGGGAATATGCATCTCTATTTATTTTAAGGCTAAATAAAATAACCACTTCGAAAATGGCTTTACCACTCCTTAACAAATCAGAAGGCTTAGATTAGAATCATTAAATTGCGACGGTGTTTTTAACTCGTATCTTAATTAGTCCCATTTCGCCCCTTCGTCCTACTCCTCAGAATTTTAATTTTTCAGTTTGTATGGATGTAGTTCTCCTTAAGAAAATTCCTCTCTGCAAGATTTCAAGAGGGGCTATAATTTGGTCGTGGCATGCATAACATATATGTTTGATTAATCTAAAGAATGAATGTCATCATTAACTACCACCTTCGTATAATCTTACATCTGCATCATTAATTATTCATGCCCAAATATTTTCCACATTCATTGAATTCGGTGGATATATATATATATGAAGAAATGCCAACCATATGGGCACGAGTGACACGTACGGTTATGATGTTGGCCAAGGGGTACAAATTGAAATAGTAACAGCTTGGAACTTGAAAGCATTTGTCGTCGAGCTCAACTGTGTGGGACACTACTGAGTGCACCAGAATTCAGTTCAATTAATTAACACGCAAAAGTCTCAGGTTCTTCAAATTTGCATCAATTGACCCTTCCTTTTCTCTTTTGAAAACTCTTTGCAGAGAATATACTGTTGAAAACACGCAGCAAAGGAAAGTGTTAATAGTACGTGCAGACGTATATTGATATCTTCTGTTCCTCCTTCACCATCAGTAACATCCTGTGAAAATCGTTGCTTCAAAATTAGGTCTCCTGTGAAACTGTTACTTCAGGTTTACGGGTGACACATGTTTAGCCTCGTGCCTTTTCTGGAGCACGACCCATCTATTTAATAAAACCTACCCTCTCAATTTCTTAGCTACTGGAAGCCGCTAACCCCTTCTCTGCGCAACTTGGCGTGTCTTTATCATTCTCAAAAACAACTTCTATTTTATAATGCCTCAGCTGGCGTAAACTCTTTAAAGCTCTAACTGAGCACGGCGCCTATTCATTCTTTCGTTTTTCACACACACAAACTGATATATTTTGAACATTAGATGGGATGAGGCAGATTTTCGTCTGAGAGTTCTATTAGTTTTAACCTCACACAGGTAATGCTAATAAGGGTGAAATATATTGAGTATATAAAAAAGGGTGAGTGTAGGATATTATGTATAGGGCGTGCAGGTTGGCATATGTGTCTGTGTTATAAATACGGAGTATGGACTTGAATTTTGGCCGGGATTCAAATTCATATTGTGACAACAATGTGAGTCTGTGACAGCTAGCTGAGCCCGACAAGAGTGGCCGTTTCGGGAAAGATTCAGGTCCAAATTGTATACGGTTTAGACAATGGAGTACTGTGTGGTCCAGAAAGAGAGTGAAGAAAAGAAAATTCCTTAGATTCAATGATAATCAGGACCCACCCCAAACAACCTCAACTTTTCGGATATTTCCAATTCCAAATAGCCTCGCTGACTCGCGGTCAGGAATGGATGATGATTAGCCCAATTGGCGCAATTGCACTTCCCCCCCGCCATCTCTCTTATCATTGCCTCATCAGCTAATTAAACCCTCAGTCCTCACGTTCTTCAATTACTCGTGGCACTTCTTTCTGCTTCATTTTAACATTCGCATTTACTAATAAAAGGAAAAGAGACGCGTACAGCACCCGATCGATCATTCCTTAGCTTGTTGCTCTACATGAAGTAAGGAAAATTCTGATGAGGGAGGTTCATCACAAATCCGAAGCAAAAAGGCGAAAGAGTGGTGAATTCTAAAGATCAATTTATACATATGGGTCTTATATTAATCACTGCATGACAAACATATGTGGTATGCAAGTCTTGAGATCGCCATAGGCGAGTAGATATTGATTAACAATTTAAACATTCTGCAGATTGGAATTCCAGATATATATAACGGAGGAGTTGAAAGTCTAGTTTTGTTGTGATGGGGACGTAAAGGCGTCATATTCCAGGATTAATAGCTCCCATTAAATGTGTTTGTCCCGGAGCGAAGGCTCTGTGGTTGGATATAGCTTGGAGGCCGAAAATATAGGAGCTGGCTACTTTAATGAGTTCACATGTTGTGCGGCGCATTTTCCTGGACATATACAGTAGTCCTCTACGTCTTTTCCATTTTGCCCCTTTACAAGTATAGCCCCATGAATTGACACTGCCCTGCCATTATATTCACTCGCCATTTCTATTTAAACTTTTAAACTCTACACTACAGTTTATAGCGTATTCTCTTGTTAAATTTAAGACTCCCCGCCAGTCCGGGGGAAATGACGTTCGTTGGTTTTTATCACCCGTAATTATTTATAATCCGAGACTACACTGTATAGAAGTTCGTTGAATCTGACGGACATCACAGTTGCAGATATTGACCAATCCGGACAGCACACACACAAGACTTGGTTTTACAACGCAACCAGAATTTATGCAATACCAGAGGATTTAAATATATAATCAACGTCATTTCATTCATACATTGAAGTGAAGAATAAAATTTGCAATAAATCGCATTATTTTATCAGATGTGAGATGTGAATGTGGAAAGGGTAATTGGTAATGACCACGTCATGTAAAGAAGAACACCAAGTTCAATGACGACAGCCACAGACCCTCCCCCTAAAGACGGCCGGTAGGGTCATAGATAATTATCGGATTGTCCAGTAGTGCAAGACCAAATTATGACCGGAGGGTGTGTCTAGCCTAGACCAGGATGATTCTCCCTCCAGTGCTTGAGTTGGTTATCTTTATAGTACGGCACTATTTATATATAAATCATAACGTGACTCATTCTACGAATCTTATTGAACACTACAAATCTAGTAATCCGCATGTTTGAGAAGATAAAATAAGATTAAAAAAAAAAACAGTTCTGTCATAGACAATTCCGAATCAAAATGAGCACCTAATCCCATTTCCTAATCAACAGGCTACCCAGATAAAGAGGAATTTGTATAAAGGTTTTAAAACTCTTCCCCCAGCAATTAATATCATTAGTTCCATTGCATGCTGAAGAAATCTTGCTCATGTGTGAGGTAGCCAATCGAAGATGCACCAAACATCTTTAAAATAACGAAGTTTCGTGTTTGGTCGGTTTGGTTAGAGAGGAGGGGAGGAAAATATTCCAATAAGGAATGAAATATAAAAATTCTAATGATGTTCCCTCTGCTTGATTTAGGCGAGTGAGAGGTGCGGGTTTGGAGATGAGAGAAGGGGAATTTTAACATCCAATGGTTTTGTTTTGAAGAGCAAGAGGGTGAAAGATAATACTACATCTGTTTTTAACTATAAGAACTAGTTGACTAATTTGACTAGGTTACGAAAATAAGTTAAATTAGTCTTTTGTGATAAATATGTATTGTCTTTTTTAATATATTTTTACTAATCAAGTGTATTGATTAGAACTGCCATTATTAGAATGATTAATTTAAAAAAATATATAAATATGATATACAAAGTGGATTAGAGTCATATATTTAAGATCAAAATAAAAATCAAACGAGATCTTATATTAAACACTAGAGGTAGTACTATTAGCTTAATTGCACTAATGTATTCCCATCAATTTTCCCAACTCTTTAAAAAAAATAAAAAAAATCTGTTATAACTCAAAACACAGTTCATCCCTCTCAATTTTAAAAAGCCAGCAGCTTTTACCTTGATTATTAACGTGATCTATTATTTATTATAATTTTTTGAAAAAATATGCCTTTTAGCTTCTATAATTCATCTCAATTGTCGAATCAATCCTTGAACTTTGAATTATATTACATCAACAATCCATATTTTTTTAGTATATCACTCACCAATAAGAGAATCCGCTCGGCAAATCCTGCCACGAGAAAAACTAGCCAAGAGCTTCTTTTTTCAACCAATACGTCAAGAATTATGTGGTACGTATAGAAAATAATAGACAACAAATGCTTCTTGCATATAAAACTATAATAAAAAGTAAACATGATTAAATAATAAATACATACTATATACTCCATCGATCTTTAATGTAAGACTTAATTAACTAATTTGAGTAGACTAAAAACTTTATTGAAATTAATTAATATGATATATTTTTTTCTAAAACACTCTAATGTACTATTTGGTATCAAGGAAATGAAGGGGAGGAAAGGGAAGGGGAAGGAACACTTTAATAAGCTATATTTAAAAATTTGAAGAAGCATGGTTTTAAAATTTTAATAAAGAGAAGAAATAATATAAAATAGTAATAAAAATCAATTAAAAACTTTTAACCCTGCTTTTTCAATTTTTTAAACCCAGCTTATTAAAATTTTTTCTTCCCTCCCCTCCATTTCTCTCATATCAAACGGACCGTAAGCATTTTTTTTAACTTTCTCCCTTCCCTTCCTTCCTGATTATTGTTAGGAGAATATCAATATGGTTAATTTGAAAAAAAAAATTTATAGACACGTAAAATAGATCTTACATATAAAACCAGTATCAACTCCCTAATTAAACCCTATATTAAGGAGCGGAGGAGCATCACAAATACATCGATTTTATCTATAATCTTTCTTTATACGACCCAAGTAGCCAACATGACACATGTTATGATTTTATTTATCATTAACCGACAAACAAATCAAGCAAATGTAAATAGTAAGGTGAAAACTGGGCCTTGATTTTTCTTGCCTGGGCGGATTTGGGAAGGTTTTCGGCAGGCCCATTAGTATGTTTGAAAGGGGCAGCTTATAGCCTCCTACTGTGCTTCTGTTCACACACACACACACACACACACAAAATCAACCCATACTGGGCTTTTTGCGCAAATTCAACCTCTGACCCAAATAATGATAATAATATGTTTTTGTGAATCTTCTTTTCCTTTTGGTTGAGTTTCATACCAGAAGGGAGAGTGCCAGGCTCATTCTCTCACGATCCTTCTGTTTCTTCCAATTATTTTGTCTGTCAATTTCGTGAAGTTCATCAGAGATCGTGGAGGCGCCATTCCTTACTTTGTAGGCTGAGAAGATCTGAATTCCGCTTCCTTTTTCGTCGTCTCATCTTCTTGTGCTTACGCAAGCTAATGTGGAGGTTGTAGACGAAACTTGAGTAACTGCATCAATGGAGTGGACGACATTGCAGCATCTGGATCTACGACACGTTGGACGCGGCGTTAGACCGCTGCAGCCTCATGCTGCTTCATTTCATCCTCACCAGGCGCTTGTTGCCGTCGCCATTGGAACCTACATCGTTGGTAAGCAATTGTACTAACCTCATGTTTTTGTCGTTTTTTTTTTTTGTAAACTCAGGAAGCCAAGTTCACAAACTTTATAATTCCCAACTAAACATTTTCAACCTTTGCTATATTTTGGTATTTTGAAGTTGGGTTTTTTAACTTTTAGCGAGTAAACTCCAGAGATCATGCATATGTGGGATGTGCTGCGGAAATTGCCTTCATTTCTTGATATAATATTTATGATTTTATGGAGAAGTGAACCTGATCTTCCTTGAGCTTGCTGCTGGTTTCCCTTTTCAGTTGTATAGTTTTTCAAAGCTTTGCTAGGCTCCGTTGACCGTCATGGATAATTGGATATACTGGCGAGTCTGATGCTTTTTGTTAATGATTTTCCGTCTAAATCAAAGCTTCCATAGTAAATAATCTAATTAGAGATGAAGGGAAATAATCTAATTGGCCCTTGATTTTAGCCTTAGAAGTCATTTTTCGCCCAGAGATCTATCTGAAACTACATGAATTTAGTCTCTTAAAGGGCCCTGTAAATGTCGCTTAAATTATTGATGATGCCTGCATAGGTGGAGAGGCACTGATAAAACAATCCTCTCTTTCTATGCATGTTATATGAGCCCGTTTCTTTTGTGATAATAGTCACTGGTAATTTATCTGGCATTTGCTTTGCTTGACTTGAATATTTTTCATTACCAGGTATTGAATACATTAGCTGTTGTGAACTATTGACTTGTCCATGTTAGTAATCTTTCTTCTGCCGTCATGTCTATTTATGTGGCAAATGAGTCTTATCTGGATATATGGCCATTGTATAAATGGGGCATTTTCTGGCATCAAGCATTCTTTTCAGTTGGATGTGTAGAGGGAACTTGCTTGTGATGCTGCCCTTTTGGATTGTTGACTTTTCTTTTGATAATTGATTTGCTTGTTGGCTTGTTGTCGTATATGCAGAATTTGATGCATTGACTGGAAGCAAGATTTCTGCCCTTGACATTGGTGCACCTGTTGTACGCATGTCTTACAGCCCTACAAGTGGGCATACTGTGATTGCAATTCTACAGGTTGAAATTGGTGTTGTACATTGAGCTTTTTTTATTTAATGTGCTTCTTGCTTCCCTTCAATCCCGTGTCCTGTATCAGTTTATTTGTTCCAATGATGAGGCATGGGCAGATCCAAGCCAATAGCAAGTAGGATCAAGTGACCCTAATTGATTTCACATATTTTTCTTTTGTTTTTGTTTGCATGCAATTATAGTGGTTCGACATTGTGGTGCCCCAAGGCAAGTGCCCCTAAATTCTTTCTAAATGTGAAAATGATGTTCTTGATATCAAATAAGTTTTTAATGTATCCATTGCAAAATATGAATAATCCTGAAAGGCGGTTTTAAAAATGATGATACCATGTCTTTTGCTCTGCTAAATGATGTAGTTATGAATTATGATTATAGTAAGTTTAATCTTATAATTTTTACTCTTGTCATGTGTAGTATGGAAAGTGGCCATACTTGACAAAATTTTAGATTCACCACTGGATGAGATGCTTTTATTCCTATTATGTCTTACATTTTCATCTGTTTAGGATTGTACGATACGGTCTTGTGATTTTGACCTAGAGCAAACGTGTGTACTGCATTCCCCTGAGAAGAAGACAGAACAAATATCTGCTGACACAGAAGTTCATATGGCTTTGACTCCATTACAACCTGTTGTGTTTTTTGGTTTCCATAGACGGATGAGTGTGACAGGTTGGGATTTGTTTTATTTGTGTGCATAGATCTGTGAGTCTCTTTGTTTGATCAATTACGGTGATGATCTTTATTCTTTTTCTTTTTCATGCATGAAGTTGTTGGAACTGTTGAAGGTGGAAGATCGCCTACAAAAATCAAGACAGACTTGAAGAAGCCCGTTGTAAATCTTGCCTGCCATCCTCGGCTTCCTGTCCTAGTAATGTGTTGTAATTTTGGTTCTTGTCATAATTTAATTTTTCTTGATGTACATTTGATGCATATTACAGACGTTCTGATTGCGCTCTCTTTCTCATCTCATTGATAGTTCAGGCATGTCCTTCTCAAATTTGCTTTCTTTTCTCCTTTTTTCCAGTATGTTGCTTATGCAGAAGGTTTGATTCGAGCATATAACATTCATACCTATGCTGTTCATTATACCCTACAACGTGAGATGATTCTCTGTGCAAAATCTTTTACTGATGTTATGGATTACTTATATTATACCTACTTGATGTAATTTATATCTGAAATTTCCAACTTCAGTTGATAATACCATTAAGCTTAATGGTGCTGGTGCCTTTGCATTTCATCCAACTCTCGAATGGATTTTTGTTGGTGATCGACGGGGTACACTATTGGCATGGGATGTATCAACTGAGAGACCAAGTATGATTGGAATGTGAGTGTGGATATATTTTACTTCTGATTAGGTTGCCTCCTTTTATTGTATTATCATATTCTTTACTTTGGTACTGTTTCCTTTCATCAACCAAAGTTTGTTGTGAATAGAAATGATATTCAAGACGCCTGCATAGAAGCTTACAAACAATAATTAAATGACTGTAAACATGGCATCATCATGTTGCTATGTTATAAAAGAAGGTATATATGCAATAGTATGATAGCTTTTGTATGTTTGTCAGAATGAAACAATGATCGTGTCTTAAATTTTTTGTCCAGTAGTCATGAACTATTAGGGAAGCATACAGCCTTCCAAACTAATGAACTATTTTTGTGAATGATACATTCCCCCCATTTAGAAACACTCATTTGTACTGCCTAAAGGTGGAGTCCCTCAATTATATCCTGCTGCTGACTTCTAATCTTTTGATTTTAGTGTGATTACTGATTTATGTCAGTGTTAAAGCTTTTTTTGTGTGCGTGTGTGTGTATAGAGAGAGAGAGAGAGATTTGGGGTGGTGTAATAGTTCTTAGAATCTAAACTACAATGATTGGAAGTACCTATGTTGTTTGAGCTGCTAAAGTCATCAGTTTAATTATATCTCATGCTTCCTCCTATCATTGACGCTAGAAAGTTTTAGTTACTGTTATCATTTGATATCAACTTGCTGCCCACTAGCTATATTTAGTGTAAATCTTTTTTCTGCATTGGTTACTTTGCTGACTTAAGATCTGGACATCTCATTGTTGTTGAAATTTCAGCATACAAGTTGGTCAACAACCAATAATATCAGTTGCTTGGCATCCCATATTGCGTTTACTTGTAACTCTTTCAAAGGATGGAAATCTGCAAGTTTGGAAAACACGGGTTATAGTTAATCCTAACAGACCTCCTATGCAGGCTAATTTTTTTGAGCCTGCAGGTTAGTCATCCTGACTCTTTCTAACATTACTCACATGATATTGCCTGCTGGGTTTTGGTAGTCTTTTGCTTATTTTCTACTAATATCTAGTATCCTGTGGATTCCTTCATAATTCTTGTTGCTTCATTCTTGTTCTGCTCTTTTCATTTAGAAATGTTTGGCTAATGTACCTCATTCTGTGTGCAGCAATTGAATCACTTGATATTCCTCGCATCCTTTCTCAACAGGGCGGAGAAGCAGTTTATCCCCTACCACGAATTAAAGCTCTAGAACTTCATCCGAAATTTAATTTAGCAGCACTAGTGTTTGCAGTTGCGTCCCAGCTAATATAATTTATCCTGGCTTGCCAACGACTTTTGAAAATTTACATTTGGTATTCATTTATCATTGACAGAATGTAACAAGCGGAGAGAATTCAAAAAATAAGACCACAAGCAGTAGAGAAAGGAGGAAGCAACTCTTTGCAGTTTTGCAAAGTGCACGAGGCTCTTCAGGTGATTGTTATTATTAACCATTTATCCTTTTGATATGTCTTTATTTGCTAATAAATTTTGCAGTTTCTCATTGAAGTTTTATCTGGCATCTAATTGCTAAATTATTTTGTCAATGTCAAGCATTTCGTATTTGCAGTGCTACTTTTTATAGTTTGCTCTTTGATCAGATTTACTAATGGTTGATGGGCTTTGCAGCATCTGTTTTGAAAGAAAAACTCTCATCCTTGGGTTCATCTGGAGTGTTAGCAGACCATCAGCTTCAGTCTCAACTACAAGAACATCATCAGAAAGGGTTAGTTGGAATTTATTGCGTTAATTATTTAAGTTGCAATATGATATTGCTGAAGTGTCTAAAGCAAAATGTATACTTTATCTTGTATATGATGAGGGGGGGGGGGGGGAACACTTTTTGCTTGGTTTTGGGTGCTTTTCTCCAGAGCGAATATCTTTTCACCACTTGTTGGGTAAATTTTCCAGTTAGCAGTTTAACCCCTTTGAATGATGTCTATTTATTTTCTTTTTCTTCTTTTGCACCCCATTGTTCCATGCAAATGTTTCTTCAGGGATTCAATAACCTGAACTTCATCACAAATGTTTAAACTCTTAGAATCTGGTTTCTATGGTTGTTACCTAAACCACGAAGCTCTAAGTGCAGGCGTGCGATTTTGATTAGTTGAGACATTTTATAGGGAAATTGTTCTTATCAATACTGGAAAAAAGGATTAGTAAGTGAAGCATTGAGAAAAAAGCAAATGGTTGAACTTGAACTTCTGAAAGGCACTTGATAAGACTGACTTCAGCAGCAAATCATTATAAACTCTTCAGGCTTGCTTCTGATATGTGTGGAAAGCACTAATGGAAATAAAGGTTACATGAAAGTGAAAGAAAGTGGAGACCCCTTGGCCAATGTGTTGTTGTTTTCTCCTACAAGTTATGGCCTTTATGTGGAAAAATATCTCATGGAATATGTTGTGTGCTGTGCAAACAAGTACCTGAATTAAGATGCTTGAGTCTTGTGATCTTCTGCTGTTTTTATTCTCTCTCTCTCTCTCACATTCATATCTCTCCAATTATATCTGTTCATGACTTAAGAAATAATTATGAACAGGCAATATTTTTTTGCCAGTTTAATGTCTCACCTCCCCCCCGGGGAGGGGGAGATAAACGTGATTTGTTAACTTGGAAAGTGGATCAAAAGCAACCATAAGGTGGATATATATTACTTTTCATCATCATCGACTCTAACCTTTTTATGGCTATGGCTCCTTCTAGGTCATTAATGGTATAAATTAGATGCTGAACTGGCCTTTTAGCATAATAATATGCCATGTTGAGGTCCATAGGATACACCAAATGTGAATACCTATGTATGGACTTGATTACCATGTCAGTAAATTTTGTCATTTGATAGTAATTTTGCAGTAGCTTGGTGTAGATTTGTTTCAGAATTACTTCTGCTGAGATTAAGCATTAGTACATTCAACCTAGCAGTTTGAGATTCTGATGGTTAGGGTTCTTTGGAATTTGTCTTGACTCCCTCCATCAATAGTAGTCCATGTCGTGCAATTTAGGATATTTATTGATTATTTATTTATGATTACCATATGTGATTATTGACATACTATACTCTTTCTTGCAGTCATAGTCATCTTACCATATCAGACATCGCAAGGAAAGCTTTTCTTTATAGTGTAGGTTCTTTTCCTGTTTTAAATTATCATTATATTTTGGGGTTAAGATTTTATATATATATATATTTTATTACTGCTACATAGAAGTTTATTTTTGTATATGCAACTGATTCTTTGTTGATACTTGAAATCTAAATATCAAAAAGCATCTAATGAGTAATGACTTAAAGTTAGATTCACCTGTTAGCCTAAAAACAAACAAAAAGGGAAAAGATGACAGGAAATTAACTCTAGTCAACAAATTTGCTGTTTCAAATCACTACTGACCTTCATTGTATCTCCTATGTTAGTTTTTCAAGGTGGTGATTGTTTGTACTTCACCCCTGCAATTTAATCTGTGTTTCTCTTTATAAACAACTGAGCATTGTGTTCTTAGTCCGGGTTAACTTTATTGATCTGATTAATTTGATAAATAATGTGCTGAGGCAAGAAGTCTGCCTCATCTAAATATAAAATTGTAACACAAAATTAATCATATAGAGTCCACCAAATCAGGAACTAACAGAAAATTTATAACAACTACACAACTGGATAAATTTTGAAAAAGTCTTGTGCCCTTTGGATATAGTTATCTCCATCCAGTCTATGCCTTGTTATCTAAGCGTTGAGAACTTGTTGGTTCCCAGCAGAGGAGATGCATGGCTGTTCTGATCTTGTGCTTTGGATGCGGCACCATGAGACTGTCTTCATGGCTTTAATATTTCTGAATCCAATTATGGCTTTGATACTACGGAAACAGTTGAGTGTTTGTGTACTCTGTGATAATTTCTTGATCTGAATAATTTGATATATAATGTGCTGAGGTAACAAGTCTGCCTCATCTAGCCCAAATATTGGAGAAATCATGATATGAAAAGAAACTAGATAGAGTGGACCAAATGCTGACAGAAATTATATAACAAGTGGGAAACTGGATACAACTAAAAACAAAATAAAATGTGAAAGAAAGAGAATAAAAGCAGCAAGAATCACATATGAGAATCACGGTGATTTCTAACACATCTTTTAAATATTTTTAACTGAGGTTTGTTTATATATAATCCTTGTAGCATTTTATGGAAGGTCATGCAAAAAGCACTCCAATATCTCGGTTGCCCCTCATCACTGTCTTGGATACTAAGCATCAACTGAAGGACATACCAGTTTGCCAGGTAAGACTCCTGTGAAACATTGATTTTGACATAGGTTTCTGTTTCTTGGCTTCCTCCCTAATTATCTAAATTTACTTATCTGATGCCAGCCCTTTCATTTGGAGCTAAATTTCTTCAGCAAAGAGAACCGTGTTCTTCATTATCCTGTGAGGGCCTTCTACATGGATGGTGTGAACCTTATGGCATATAATCTCTCATCTGGCTCAGATAGCATCTACAAAAAGCTTTATAATTCGGTAATGTAGAGAGATTTAGTCTATAACAAGTAGGGTTGTCTTTGTGGTTCTCCTGTAATTTCAATTACCTCTTCCAGTTACAAAACCTTATGTGTCATAACTATTCAATTATTTTGCATGAAAATTATGTCCATAATCAACATTGTCATGTTGTTCATTGATTTTGTTATAGATTCCTGGAAATGTGGAGTACCAAGTAAAACACTTGCATTATAGTAAAAAGCAGCACCTATTTCTTGTTGTTTATGAGTTCAGTGGCGCTACAAATGAAGTGGTGCTGTACTGGGAAAATGCAGGTGCGGAGACAGTGAGCAGTAAATGTAGCACAGTCAAAGGTACTTCATTCTTTGGAATGTATCAATTTTCTACCATATGAGATAGCTTGATTATGCATGAAGTGTGATTAATACTTTATTTGCCCTGTAGGTCAAGATGCTGCATTTATTGGCCCCAATGAAAATCAGTTTGCCATTCTTGAAGATGACAGGACAGGACTGGCTGTCTATACTTTGCCTGGGGGTTCCTCACAAGAAGCTAAGGAAGATGATAATGTATTTGCAGAGAACCAACCTGCAGAGACTAGTATTGGTTCAATTAAGGGCCCTACGCCATTTTTGTTTGAAACTGAAATTGATCGTATCTTCTCTACTCCTTTAGGTAGTTGATCACAGTGTACATACTTTTTCTGGGGCTGCTGTATATGCTACACATTAATGCAATTTTCCTTGTAAACTGTATTAATACTTTGTTTTTTTTCCCCTTTTTATAAAGTATTGACTGTGCCTTTTCTGATTGTAGATTCAAGCTTGATGTTTGCTTCTCATGGAAACCAGATTGGATTGGTAAAATTGGTACAAGGGTACCGCCTTAAAACTTCAAGTGCTGATGGTCATTATTTATCAACCAAAAGCGAGGGGAAAAAGGCAATCAAGTTGAAAAGAAATGAGATCGTACTTCAGGTATAATTCATAATTTGTGTCATTATCAGCTTTTTTCCTTTCCTTCTTTCTGAATCCTCACATGCCTAGCTACATACGACCGCTAGCCTCATAATAGATTGATAAGGGAGAAGTGGAAGAGGGGATACTTGATGGCCAACTTTCCAATATACAATATGATCTGTGTCTGTTTTATTTTCGGTTATGGCTGGCACTATTCTGAAGACATGCGTCAATAATTGGCTGATCTTTTTTAAAATACACTGCTCACCATTGCGCTGTCACAATGTCACTGAAATTTTAATTGCGATCTGAAGCTGATTATGGGGGGAAGAGGATGAGAATGTCAAAACATGTTCTAGTTTAATCTTTTAGGAGGTACAATGTAATTTCCAAGCCTCTTCCCCATTTATCTATCCCAAGCTGCGGTCTTCCGCAAATTCTCTTGTATAGGAGCGTGTGTTGAATTGCTTTCCTCATTTATGTGCTAAAGTGTAGCATGCGCAGTTACTTAGCCAATTTTAGTTCCTGAAATGCCTTTGTTTAAAGGCTGTTTCCTTGTCTGGTGGGTTGTTCTAGCTGAAGTAATTTCAGATCCATGCTGTCGTTTGGCAAAAGCCATTTGCTGTAGGATGCCTGGATTGTGTAAACTCATCTAATCATTGTATGTCATGGTCTTGTTGGGAATAAAGCGATGTTTAAAATTATGACAGGTGCACTGGCAAGAGACTCTTAGGGGCTATGTTGCTGGAATTTTAACAACGCACAGAGTCCTTATTGTTTCAGCAGCACTTGATATCCTGGCAGGCACTTCTTCAAATTTTGACAAGGGGCTTCCTTCAATATCCTTGACATTTATTCCTATGAAAATTAGAATCTGTATATTCTTACAAATTTGGTTTTATATGTAATTGAGATTTATTCTTTTTTTTTTTTTAAGGTTAAAAAATCCTTAACCTATGGCCACTTTAGATCACTCCTATGGGTAGGACCAGCCCTTCTGTTTTCTACTTCCACCACAGTTAATGTGCTTGGCTGGGATGGAAAAGCAAGGACTATTCTCTCTATTAGTTTGCCTAATGCAGGTAAATTTTCTTGGGAACAGGGATGTCACAATTTGTTCTGCCTTTTTTTTTAAAAAAAATTTATTTTGGCCAGTGTATTTTATTATTGTGTTGTCTTTCTGATCTATTTAAATGATTTTTTTTTTTTTTGGTTACAGTCTTGGTTGGTGCGTTGAATGATAGATTGTTACTCGCAAGCCCTACAGAAATAAATCCCAGACAGAAGAAGGCAATTGAGATTAAAAGCTGTCTTGTTGGGCTTCTTGAACCACTTCTCATTGGATTTGCTACAATGCAACAAAGTTTTGAGCAGAAGCTTGATCTACCTGAAATACTATACCAAATAACATCCAGGTTTCTTTCATTCATCTTCTAGAAAGTTTTAGTTAAAGGCCGTTGTCATACTGATAGTAGATCTGATGAAAGGTATATGAGGAGGAGAGGTACGGCTGACATAATAAACAATGGGATGGGCGGCTGATGAGGAGAGAGCATCAGGGAAGGAGTTAGTTAGAAGGCTGGTATGAGATGATGAAAATAGAATGGAAAGCTGAAGGGAGCTACGAAGTTTCAGGGTGGATTAGGGAGGGCATCTGGCTTTTGGAAGCTTGCAATGGAGTCTGAGTGTTGAACCAATGGCAAGAATCCGGGAAAAGGAGATAGAGAAAAGCAGGAGGGAGATGTTGAAGAAAGGACAGGAGAACAGAGGATATGAATTTTATAAGAGACTTGACCTAACCCTAATTAGTAAGGACTTTATAATTAGGTAAATTAATTTGATAATAAAAAGATAATTAACAAAAGGATAAAGAAAAAGACTAAAGAAAGGATAATCAATATATCATCATATAATATAAAATTTGTTGGGAATCATATAATTCATACGCCATGAACTAATTTACTGTAATCCCCATGTGAACATAGGCTCTACGTTAGAGTTAAATTGAAATCAATTATCAAAATTAACTGATTCTTTATGGGAAACTGCACTATTCATAAGTCATGAATAGTGTGATTTACCTCAATCTCCATGCAAACACGGCAACCACAATCTAGTTGCATTCAAAATAAAACTAATTAAACAATTTCTAATTCTTTTATTTATCCTCAGTTCTTAATGTACACATAATTAATGATATCTTCTCAAATTATTTCTTCCCAATCTCCTTTATAGAAGTTTCCCTATCCTAAATAGCTCCCTCGCCATTTCCAGTATCTCTTTTTGGTTCCTTCCCCAAGCCACTGCTAGCCGATTCAAGTTGCCCTCACGTCTGATTCCCCTCAGCAGCCCTGACGCTTTATTTTAGATCCTTCTAGTTGGGAATCTATCACTTGCTTTTATTCATTCATTTATTGAAGCTTTTAATGACTGGTTATAAATTCTTATCTCAATGAAGGTTTGATAGCTTGCGCATAACACCAAGATCTCTTGACATTCTAGCTAGAGGTTCTCCTGTTTGTGGAGACCTAGCTGTGTCATTATCCCAGTCAGGTCCACAGTTCACTCAGGTGAGTAATTGAATTCTTTGTCTAACTTTCTTGGCTATGGCTTAACCGTACTTCTAAACATGTTTGGTTTTAATATAGGTTCTGCGTGGTGTTTATGCTGTGAAAGCTCTTCGGTTTTCAACTGCTTTGTCAGTCTTGAAAGATGAATTTCTGCGTTCCAGAGATTATCCAAGATGCCCTCCTACATCTCACTTGTTTCACCGGTTCAGGCTGTTGGGTTATGCCTGTATCAGGTTGGCAGACCATGAAATTTTGTTCTATTTACAATGCTGTCCTTAGAGGAACCATCCAACTGTTGTGCTTGCGTGCTCCATTATTTCTCAACTTAATGGCTGTTGCGTCTTATCAATTTACCATGGTTTCATGATTCTGGTCTATTCTTGTGAAAATTAAGGATGCAAGAACATCAAATATCAAAGCACTTTTCTTTTTCCTCTCTACAACTAGTAATTTAGGTTTACTTCCATCTTAGCACTTAGCCATTAGTCAATTATTTACTGATTAGGTGTGCCTGCTATTTATTGGTTTATACTGAGCAATCCTATTCTCTGCAAGGATCAGTGGTTCAATTATATTGCTTTATAGCACCATGTAAAGTATGACATGCATGTTTCTGTTAACTTTTGAAACTCACAATACTGATGAGCTGGTGTTTGGATTGTACTTTAGTTATTTGAATAACTTCATCAACTATAAAATTACGTTGTCCACCTTTGTAATGTAAGGTTACTTGCAGGTTTGGTCAATTTGACAGTGCGAAAGAAACATTCGAAGTAATAGCAGACTATGAAAGCATGCTTGATCTGTTCATATGCCACCTTAATCCCAGTGCCATGCGACGTCTTGCTCAGAAGTTGGAAGAAGAAGGTCTAGACTCAGAATTGAGGCGATATTGTGAAAGAATTCTACGAGTTCGATCTTCCGGATGGACACAGGGTATATTTGCCAACTTTGCTGCAGAGAGCATGGTTCCTAAAGGACCTGAGTGGGGTGGTGGAAACTGGGAGATCAAAACCCCTACAAATGCAAAGGATATCCCTCAGTGGGAGCTTGCTGCAGAGGTGACACCATATATGAAAACTGATGATGGTAGCATTCCATCCATTATTGTAGATCATATTGGTGTGTATTTAGGATCAATTAAGGGAAGAGGTAACATTGTAGAGGTGAGGGAAGATAGCTTAGCCAAGGTCTTTCCTCCATCAGGTAGTGATAAGCCAAATGGTCCTGAGGTATCTTCAGTTAAAGCCATACCTAGTCAGTCAAAGGGACTTCTTGATGGTACTTCCAAAGGTAATTTATTGATGGGTCTGGAAAACCTTAAGCCTGCTAATGCCTCTTCTGATGAACAAGCTAGAGCAGAAGAAGAATTCAAGAAATCTATGTATGGAGCTGCTGCTGATGGGAGCAGTAGCGATGAGGAAGGAGTATCAAAAACAAAGAAAATACAGATTAGAATACGAGACAAGCCTATTGCATCTTCTACTGTGGATGTAAACAAGATCAAAGAAGCCACAAAACAGTTTAAACTTGGTGAAGGCTTAGCTCCACCAACAAGGACCAAGTCTTTATCTGGTGGTGCCCAGGACCTTGGCCAGATCTTGGCCTTGCCACCAGTAACTACTGGGATGGCTGCTCCTACTGTTTCAACCCCAGGTGACCTGTTTGGTACGGATGTTTTAACACGACCAGAACCAATCTCACAGCCAAGTCCTGTGGCTGTAGGTGGGGGAATTAAAGCAGCGCCTATTCCAGAGGACTTTTTTCAGAATACAATTCCATCCTTCCAGGTTGCTGCATCACTGCCTCCTGCTGGGACATATCTCTCCAAATTTACTCCTGGAGCTGAAAGCAGCCAGACTACTTCAGCACAGGTTAATGCTTCTGCAGCTAATGCTGGGGTTCAAGGTGGCATTCCCCCTCAAACTATTCAACAACCTGTTGTTCCCCTTGAGTCCATTGGGCTTCCTGATGGTGGAGTTCCACCACAATCTTCAGGCCAGGCTGCAGTCATGCCAGCCGCACCACAACCAACATTTCAGGTTGCTCATGCACCAATTTCTACCCAACCTCTTGATCTTAGTGTTCTTGGAGTACCAAATTCTGCTGATTCAGCAAAATCTCAACCTCGTGCTGATTCTCCACCATCTTCTGTGCGTCCTGGGCAGGTGAGTAAATATACTTTTATAATTTGTCTCTGTGTAGAATGAGTGACCCCTAGCCATTCTTGTGCGCTCTCATGGTTTGAGCTTTGTGATTTTCAAACAATGGGGTATTTTTCTGATTTTCTATGGGTGTTGGAGGAAACATGGGAGGGTATGAAAGGAATTCTCTGTTGTTGGTGATGAATCCTTCTTTGGGAGGCTCCCCCCTCCCAGTCTATAGTGGCTTGCCCTTAAAATGATTTTTTAGCAAAAATGCTGCACATATAGTCATGGTTTTGGTAGATTGGGCAAACTGCTGTGAGGTGGTCCTATAATCAGGAAATAATTTTTTCTTCAGATAATACTGTCGTTCAGAAATATGCTTTTACTGGACTATATATATGCATGGATCTTTTTTTGTTTGCAATCTTATGGGTCCTTTTATGACAGGTTCCACGCGGGGCTGCTGCTTCTGTATGTTTCAAGACTGGACTTGCTCACCTTGAGCTAAATCATCTTTCAGATGCATTATCTTGCTTTGATGAGGCTTTTCTTGCATTAGCTAAGGAGCAATCCCGTGGAAATGATATTAAAGCTCAAGCTACAATCTGTGCCCAATATAAGATAGCAGTCACGCTTCTTCAGGTACTGTTACACGCTCTAATCCTAAAGACTAGTTGAATTCATTCTGTTAGCAAAAGAACTTGTAGAAAACGAAATTTAAGCATGCATGATCAGAGAAACTGCAATTAAAAAAAAAAAAAAAAAGGAGAGAGAGAGAGAGAGAGAGAGAGCAGAGGTGGGAAAACCCGATTAGAGGCCCTTCTTCTGTGTCTCAATGCTCTGATCTTATTTCAATGCGTACCTCTTATGAAATATTGCTATAAGTTCCCATCTGTTGAAACTGGATAGTTGGGGTTTAAACTGGAATAATAAGCATCATCTAAATTTGAATCAAGTAAATTGTGTTGAGCCGTTTTTGGAGGATGCCTTGACATTTCTACAAAAAGATATGCTACCTTTCTAGCCTGGGTAAGATATGTTAAGCCATGACCCATGAACTTTTAAATTTGGGTCACCTTTAGATTTAGTGATGCACTGGAAGATATCATTTCATTAATTGATTTGAAACTATCTTTACTCTTTATGTCTGTAGGAAATTGGACGTCTGCAAAAAGTTCATGGTCCAAGTGCAATCAGCGCAAAAGATGAGATGGCAAGACTTTCACGCCATCTGGGTTCCTTACCCCTTCTGGCCAAGCACCGAATAAATTGCATTCGAACTGCCATTAAACGAAACATGGAGGTCCAAAATTATGCTTATAGCAAGCAAATGCTAGAACTACTTCTGTCTAAAGCGCCTCCTAGCAAGCAGGAAGAGTTTAGAAGCCTTGTTGACTTGTGTGTTCAGAGGGGTTTGACTAATAAGTCCATTGATCCGTTGGAGGACCCCTCACAATTCTGTGCTGCCACATTAAGCCGGCTGTCAACCATTGGATATGATGTCTGTGATCTGTGTGGAGCCAAATTTTCAGCGGTCACTGCACCAGGATGCATCATCTGCGGAATGGGAAGCATCAAAAGATCAGATGCGCTCACCGGACCAGTTCCAGTTCCTTCTCCATTTGGCTGAGTCCCCATGATCGCTAATAATACTTGTTTAACGTGCGACGCCCCCAGTGATACTGATGTTGAAAGACGCAACTTGTAGAGGAAACGGACAATTGAATGGAAAGGGGGGCAAATTCCTGCACCAACTCTAGAGAGATTATAGGCTTCCCTCATTGTGCATACTGATTCTGATGTGATTGTTTGCGATAATTTGCCTTGGCTTCCTTCTCTTTTGATTTCTTCCCCAGGTCATGTAATTGTCTGTATTGCGTAATATTTTCCCCCAGTTTTGTAATATACTGACGATAGTTTGTGAAGATAGAAAAACAATGTTAATATGCATATTTGTATTATTGATGATTTCTAAGAAACAAGAGAATGTGTCCTTATGCGAGTGGCTGAAATTCTAATTTAATTGAAACGTAAATTTTAAACTTTCGTGGGTAATAGGATTAAGGTCTCGACAGTGTCTAAATTTGTTAATTTATGGACGACCCAACAAATACTGTGCGTAAAGTGAGCTAAGATCCACAGGCCTTGTAGGCCTGTGCATGCGTTCAAGTTTCCTTGTGGTATAGTCGAGGCCCACAATCCAATGGGCCGAGGCCTCAGAATGGTAGGGCCTGTTGCAAAAATTGTCCCAATTAATTCGTGGGGTCCTTAAAGATATATATACATCAAGTGATTTTTCTGGGTAATGAAGAAAGCGCGTGGGGTGAGGGGCAATGGACGATCGAAATTAAATTAGATGCTCCCAGAGGGAGTATACGTGAAAGCAATTCCCAGGCATCAGGAACAAGAATGTTTAGCTCCATTTGGCTCTTAAAGATATATGGCAATATTAGGTGAGATGCTCTGGTAATAACTTAATTCAGGTTCATATTATTGATTCATATTTATTCCTTAATTTACACTCTATGCTTCCCTTCAAGCTGCCACACGCTATTTCTAGAAACAGAAATTTCATTCTGTATTCGATTTTATGCAAAAATACAAAAAGTGTTATAAAATATATATTACATCTGTATTATTATTACCGGATAGAACCGGGCAGCTTCCTTTTTAATGTTCAAGCAGGTGAGCGACATTTTGTATCTAGATTTTTATTCTCTCTTTTTCCCCCTATAATCTGATAATTTGCAAGACAAAGCATTGGATTATTGAGATTACATGTGAAACATTGGGTCCATGAAACGATAAGATTCAAGGACAAATGCACATGGGGAGGACAAGGGCCAGCCCTCAATTGAGGATGTGTTCCCAGTTTTATTCGCACCGAAGCCCCCATTCCCTTCACACACTGATGATCACTGCCCACAATTTTTGTTTATTTATATGTTCCGTAAAATTTAGGATAAAAAAATGAAACGAGTATATGACTGAAAGGAACGAGGCATAAAGGCCCATAATTTTATTTTTATCGTTAAACAACTGAAAATAATTGACGATGTATTTAAAGGCACGTAGAATAATTTGTTGCCATTGATTCTCTTTCGTTATCTCAGTCATTTTCCCACCTCTTTGAAAAATAGGTTTGAAACCGGATTTACTTTTTAAATCCTTGAGGTATTATGCCTACACGCTTTGCAATTCGCAAGCACAAGCATCCAGAAGGATTGAGAAGCTCTAGTGGAAACGGTATTTCCCCACAGCTTAATAAATTAAGATTCAAATTTTTGTTGAGAGAAGCGTCTAAGCTAAAGACCCTTCCACTATGAATAATGTCTGTCAATGGTATGCAATTTTTCTTTTTAAACAACATATATAGATTTCGAATCGTAAAGAAGTGTACAAGAACTTCATTAAGATGTGGATTAAAGACTGTTTAAGTCATGATTGCGAGCAAATTTGCTCCTTCCCCACGTCACGTGGTAACTTCAACTTCTTATTAAGAAAAATGAGTTTGAAAAATATACTATAAAGTACATATTTGATGTTAATAAAAAATTGGAAAAGCCTTGAAAGCACTTTGACATATTCCCAGTGCTTCAAAAGAATCTTACAGAGCGTTAATAAGTCAAACTAAAGTCCAAATGCTCCGGTTCAGATTGGTCCTGCAGAGGAATGTGCTTAAAAGTTGATATATATATATATATATATATATATATATTTCAAGGTATGACAGATCAGAAACGCTTAAGTAATACTCCCTCCGTTCCTTATTATAAGAGACGAATAACCGAATTACGTTGATCAAAAAAGCAGTTAAGATTAGTTAAGAACAATCAATGTGTAAAAAATATAATTTTTTTTTCCAAAAAAGCTCTTATTAATAAGGAGAGAGAGTATGAGAGAGAACAATTAAATTATTGAAAGAAAGAGAAGTGGAAGGGAGAAAGTGTGTGAGTTGGAGACAATAAATATAAGTAAAATAGGAAATCAACACAAAAAAGTAGAGAAAACTTTTAAGTGTCTCTTATATATAGGAATATGCCATAAGCATGAAATGTCTCTTATAATAAGGAATGGAGGGAGTATTTAAGAACGCGCAAACAAAGTGTTATGAATTTAATGGGAAACTAAACTAGTTTAATGACCAAAAGCCGTGCGCAAGGCGTGCTACAAGTGGTAAGATTAAAAATAGAGACCACCAGTGTGGTGGTCCGCAAACCCTGAAAGGAGGAAAGACTGTATATTTTGGGAAACCTAGGGGAAGAGGGGGTTGCAGTTCGGGACAGAATTTTTCCTTAAAAATGAGTGATGGTTATATACGTTGGTACTCTGTTTAAAAGCAGGAACACAAGGTGGGGTCGGATTCTACAGGTGTTTGGTTTCAGTTTAAACTAACATAACCGCCATTAGGTGTTTATATGCAGAGCCAGGAAAGGTATCCACTATCCAGCACCGCTTTTTGCTCCACATTCTCTGGCCTCTCAAGTCTCATCTTTAACTTCTAGTGGTATCATCATCGAATTTGCCTCTCTCTTTTACCACCGCCTCTGCTTCATTAATTAATTTCTTCCCAACCATTTCATAAAGCCTCTGAATCAATCCACTTGTGACAACAAATTGATCAAAAGTTCCAAACTTTCTAACATCTCTTAAATAAAATACAATCCATACGTGTGATCGTGCCTGTTGGCCGGCCGGCTCAATTTACCCTATTATGTAACTGCTCATTATATTCAGTAAAAACTGATATGTAAATTGCATGATCGATGATCAATATATTTTGATTTCGTCATTTAATATATCTATATACATAGAGATAGGGTTCCTGTGTGATTATCGCATCTACTATGGATTATAATCATCCATAGTATAATTTCGGAATAAGGAATATAAAACCCCGTGTTTACGTGTTTAAATAAGCCGTTGTGGTATAATGGTCGACTAATGAGCCAGTAAAATATCTCGGCTAGATTATTCGAATCTGAGCTGCTGGTGTATATGAAAGGAGCACGCATCGAATGGTGATGAGACCCAAGATTCTTAGGAATTACGGCGCAGGGTTTATATTCAAAAACCAAAAAGAAAATGAAAGCGCGCTTCCCCATATATACATACATACATAAATTGTTGATTGTGATAGTCTGATCTGAAAAGGATCCTCTCGAGTTTTATTTGCATGAAGTTCCCAAGTCACAATAGGTATTTTAAGTAGCACTGTTGTTACATGCAATCAAATAGAAGAATTTAAGAGTCATCACTCCACACACACCTTCAAGAATTCCGGAGAGCCGCATACATATGTAGCATTCGGATTCTGAGTGTCTGATGCAACTTTTCTCTCTACATATCCTTTTGTTATTTGTAAGTTGTGTCATAATTAATGGATTTCTCTTTAATTTTTTGTTTTTCTTGAGTCATTGTAAATTGTTATTTGTGAAAAGATACAGAGAGAGGATGTCATCTTAAGAAACTAATTAACATATATATGACCCGCACAGACGCAGACATGGGAATGCATATGAGAATCAAACTGTATGTACATTGAAAGATGATCAAGTGCGAGATACAGCTAACTGACGTTTCTTAATTTTCTTCTTCCTAAACAATAAAATCTAACTTGAACTCTGTATCAAGCTACTCGATCTGATCTAAAGAAGATGACTGAAAAACTGAAATACGAGCAGGTCCTCCTATAAGGCTAGTACGTAGTTGCGGGGAACATATGAAACTAAGGTTGCACGGAGAATATATATACGTGTGTTCATGGCGCAGATCAATTGTTAATGGAGTGACCAACACCTGGGCTGTGTCCTGGAGACGTGGGCCTGAAATCATCTACCTCGTACTGAGCTCGTCTTGTCGCTCTCTTCCAGTGGACACCAGAGGCGGTGCTTCCAACGTGATCATGAACTGCATTATTGACGGTGGGCTGACCATGTTTAGGGCATTCCCTGCACAAACGAGACCTGAGATGCCTCCCATCAACATGCAGAACTCGCGACTGTAAGATCAAAATCACAAGGATGGCACAGAAAATCCTAGTGTAGTTTGCCATGGCTATAGATGGAGAAAAGGAGAGAACAAGGGTGGTAATAACTACGAGGCTTGGAGAGATTTAAGGATCGAGATAACTAATTGGCTGGTAATTAAACATATACTCTGAAGACATCTCCCTGTGTTGGTGGTATTTATAGATGAATCCGCGAGAGTGGTTAACCTTGGTCTTTTACAATATATGAAGGTATATGGGGGGGGGGGGGACCGAGCATGTGATGCCCTATATAGGCCTTTACTCCTCGTCCCTGGGAATGATTCCTTTGAATAGTGTACGATGAGCAACTTAATTACTAACACAGAAAGGAACTATATAGTGGATGGCGTGCGTGCCTTCCCGTTCCAAGCCCAACCTCTGGAGATAAACTAAAGCTTTGGCGCCTAGTTGTAATGTTCTTCTTGTCCCTCCTACCTCATTACGCAACTATAATAATTCACTTGTAATACACATAACATGCCCATAAAATTAATAACGCTTTTGTACTCTCTCCCACCATTTTACAGTAATTAAATCTCTTAATTAATGCGGTGTCTCTGCAAAGATATCATTAAATAACTAGTTTGCCCTTTAATCACCAACTTTGTATTTCGTAATAACATTATAATCGTGCTTGCGAGGATTTGACCCGGAATATGCTTTGGTCGTGCTTATACAGACTTTGAGTAGTATACTTTTGAGTTCATAATTCAATATTTTGGGATCCCATTGGAGCACATGCATGACATCGGGATGACTAAGTACCATCTTAATTATTTTTTATTTGGGTGAGCAAAAGTATTGGAAAGTGGATGATGAAATATGGTAATTAAAAGCCGGTTATGGCCAAAAAGTTCAGTGAGATCAATTGGTTTTGGGCTTCAAATTAAAGAATCTTTTGCCCCTTTCATACAGCTAAGGGGCAGTGAACCTGCTCAGTGCCCATTAGGCATCCCACTGGCCACCAGCGA